AAAGTAAACAACTCAGCAAAACCAAAAGGCCCATCAGCCAAGTCTGTTGGCATCTCCAGTTAACTTCCATAAAGCAGAAAAATGGCTTCCTCACCCCCCCACCCTCACCCTCACATGATTCCATTAGTATAAGGAACTCCTGATGAGAAAACTACCTCTACAGATACAGACTGACTCTTTCTTGGCAATTTATAATCTTGGAGAATTACTTAGCTCTCTAAGAGGTGGAGCTAGGTGGTGGAGCAGATAGAGTGCTGGGCCTAAAGTCAGGAAGACTTATCTTCCAGGGTTCAAATACAACCTTAAACACATAGTAGTAGTGTGACACTAGACAAGTCACTTAAGCCTGTTTGCCTCATTTTCCTCATTTGTAAAATGAGCTGGAGAAGGAAATGGCAAACCACTCCAGTGTCTTTGCCAAGAAAACCCCAAATGAGGTCACAGAGAGTAGAACATGACTAAACAACAACAACAAAGAGATTAAATGCCTTGCCCAAGGTCACATGGCCAATGTTTATCAGAAGTGAGACTCAACTCATCTCTCCCTGGAAAGCTTTCTAGTCATTACCCACCATGTTGTCCCATCCACAGAGAAGACAGTAAATCACAAAATGGCACAGTTACAAGAGCCCTTGGAGATCATAGTTCAACTTTACCATTTTATGTCCTCAGAATATGGTCAAGGGATCTGCCTGCTATCACCCCATGGGAGAAGGGGGATACAGGGAGCGAAGGGAAAAGGTAGCTGAGGCACAGTGGTCAGGTTGGGAAAGTTTTCTCTTTGGGCTGCAGTTTCTCCATAAATAAAATGAGGTGATTGGATGAAATGATTTCCAGGGTCCCTTCCAGTTCTAACATTCTGTACTTCTGTGGGGATTATTGTCTGAGGCCTGTCTACCCAGAAGCATAAAGTAATCTGAGGGACATGATGCTTTGGATACATAGATAGCCATGACAAGATCTTTTAAATGACTAGTGAACATATCAAGTGGGAATCAACTATGCAGAGTGTAAACATCTATACAGGGTGACAAAACCTGAAAGTCCCAAACTGACCTCGCTATTAGTTAGCCTATGGAAAAATTATCCATAGAAGGGAGTCTATTCCTTAGGTAAAAAAATCTGTGCATGTAACCCCAAGTGCCTAAAATACTTAATCCCAATTGCCTAAAAAAAAGTCTGTGCCCTAAGTCTATCATTTATTGGCTATGTGATTACAGCTAAGCCACTTAATTTTAATCAATTAATTAATTAATTCCATTTATTCATCTGCAAAGTGGATATAAGAATATCTGCTTTACCAGGCTGTCGGAAGGCTCAAATAAGACAGTATGTTTGAGGGGGAATACGCAAAAATATGTATTTTATCATTGAGGGGAACTCTAGGTATGGAAAACTCTCAGATAGGAATTCTCTTCATTATTGCAGATTGCATACTGGATATGATTTAGTATTGTGTCCTAAAGGGTTGTTTGACCTGCATAGAAGTTAAGTGACTTGGCCAGGGACAAACAACTAATACGCATTTATAATGGGTTTGAACTCAGGTCTCCTTGGAACCCAGAACCCCAAAGCATTACACTATGTGCTTTCATTTTAGAAAGTATTCATTCATAAATAAATGTTAAATGAATGAATAAATATTATAGAGAAAGCACTTTCTGACTGTAAAATGCTACATAAAACTGTGAGATATTGTATCTTTTCAATCACCTTAGAACAAATTCTTTAGGCCTCAGTGTCCTAGTCTATAAAATAGGGGTGGGGTGTTAAGCTAAAATACCTTCCAGACCGAGAATCCTTGTCAAAAATATAAAATCAAATCCTAAAGAATCACAATCTGAAAAGGAACAGTGGTGCAAGACAGTAGGAATTTTTTTTACCAAAATATAACATGTGACCCTTGTCTTCCTCTATGAACCCTTCTCAGGTTATGACTGACCCTGCCTATTAGCTAAAAGTAACATGCAATAATTGAGAAACACATCAGCAAGTTTTCAGAAATTATCACTCAATCTGGCACATGTATATTTTTAGCATCGGAAGCTAAAACCTCAAAGCTTTCCATTTGACTTCCCAAATAAGGCTCCCTGAGACTAATGGTGTGAGTTGGGGCCCATAATTGATGCTCATGCCCTGGGCCTTCCACTGTCATGTGAGGGGCTGAACTAGAGATAGTCCTATAGGGCTGAACCCTCCTATTCTTCAATCCTAGAAAGTGGGTAGAAAGGAGGAAGTTGGGGGAAAGCATTAAATAAGAGTCACAGGTGGTGCTTATTTATAGTCACCCTCCACTCGAGAATGTTGATTTCCATCTATGCAGAAGAAGTCCATTAAAATGTGGAGGGACAAGGGGAACACTTACCTTTTAGATGGCTTCTCTGTCAAAGAGAAATGTTGGAGCTGAATAAGGTCTTCAGTAACAACAAGCATCACCACAATAACAATGTTTACATAGTTTGGGGTTGGATTAGAACATTTCCCAGGCATCCGGGCAGGTGCTAGGGCCACTTCCAATGACACCTGCTCTAGACCTTTGTTAAAGATCACGTATAACCAGAGACCCTTGGTTCATCACTTGGTCCCCATAATAGGGGGAAGGGAAGGAGAAGGGGAGGCTGGGCAAAAGAGGACTGTTGACTGAGACAAGAAGAGCCACTTGCTCTGTGGGCCCCAGGATGTGAGGAGAGGTGGCTTCTTTTGGGACATGGCCAGCACCAGATCTCCCCTAGACTTCCAGAAAGGTGGGGAAAGGGAATTCTCTCCCTTCCCCATATTGGCAGTCATGGCAGCTATATTCACATGATATTGAGAACTTGTGCCTGTGTTGGCAAATCTGGGACTAGAACTCAAACCCTCCATTCCCTCTTCTACTTTGTGGTTCTTTTCTCTTCTTTTCTAAAAATATTTTATTTTTTCCAATTACATGCAAATTTTTTAACATTCATTTTTTAAAAAATTTTTGAGTTCCAAATTCTTTTTCTTTTCTTTTCATTATTTATTTTTAGTTTTCAACATTCACTTTTATAAGATTTTGAGTTCTAAGTTCCCCTCCAAGACAGCATGCAACATGTTAAATATAATTGTACATGTATAGCCTACTATATTTAACATATTTTGTGTTTCTTTTCTTGAGCACAGGTGACCCAATAGTGATACTGAAAGAGGTATATTTCTAGCCCTGGCAGTAAGCTAGTGAACTCAAGTGGTCAGGAGTTACTGGATGTTGACTGGCAGCAGGAAATGCTTCTGGTAACAGCATCCTTTCAGGAGAAAAATTGATTACTGTCAGGAAAATGAGTTACACCACACCTGGCCAGAAGTTCTAGCTCTTGAGTTGCTGCTTAGACAAGATGGACTGAAAGAAAGTGAAACCTGTTCAGCAGACCCACAAGTCTCCTGGGAAGCTTCTCTACCTGTCAGGAGAGTAAAATAGAAATGACAGCTCATGTTTTAAGTATGTATAAAGATCTGTTTATGAGTTCTTTTGTTTTTGCTTATGAGGCAGCTAGTGGTGCAGTGGATAGAACATTGGGTCTGGAGTCAGGAAGACCTGAGTTCACATCTGACCTTAGATACTTACTGTGTGACTCTCAGCAAGTTGATTAACTTGTGTTTGCCTCAGTTTCCTCAACAATAAAATAAAGATAATAATAGAACCTACCTCTCAGGGTTGTTAAGAGGATCAAAGGATATAATATTTGTAAAGTGCTTGGCACTTAGTAGGTGCTATATATATATATATATAATATATAGATGTATGTTTATTCCCTTCTCCTTCCCTTTTGTGTTTTATAACCCTCTTAATCCCTTTGGGGGGTACTCTAAACATTAGCCATCCACAAGCTTTATTAAAGAGATTTTCAATGGGGCTCTGGGGTGGGGACATAATAAGCCAGATATTACAAGATAAAAGACTCAATCTCTTTTCTTTGGGGGGTCAGCTCCCTCAGAAACGAACCTCGCCCATGTACATCAAAGACCAGGGTCTTTTATGAGAGGGGGTGTCCTTTGAGGAGGAAGGTGACATTTATTTAAGTGTCTTTATATACATTATCTCATGTGAACCTGATTACAAACCAGCGAAAATAAGCAATTCTCATTTTACAGGTGAGAAAAGAGAAAACAATTGATTGACATATAACCAAGGAGGTATTATAGATGAGATTAAAACTCAGGTCTTTCTGACTTCAAGTCTAGAAAAATTTCCATTATACCACACTGCTACTTAGATGCAATGAAATAACAAATCTATCTATCTATCTGTCTGTCTGTCTATCTATTTACCTAACACATATATGAAATGACTAATATATATTCATTTTTATAATATGTCATGAACAAAACAGAATTTTCTGAGAGAACTGTCCAGCAAAAAAATTCATTGAAGTCTTTTCTGGTCATTTCAACTTTATTCCTTACTGAAATCAAAGGACTATCCTACTATGACAGGGAAGAAGCATCTGGTTGCAAGGAAATATGTCCAGTAAAGGTTAGTTTTGCACTGAAGCTGAGTGTGCGATCTAACATTATGATCATGAAAATGTGTGTCACCTCTGAATATGTGTGAATGTGTTTGTCAATACTTAGGAAGTAATGAGACTGCTTCCCAGAAGCCATGGGGGAAAATTGGTTGTATTACTTTAGGGCCATACCATACACAGAATCCTAGACTATTAAATCCTACAGTCTCTTTGCGCAGAGCAGGACCTGAGATCCAGGGAAGAGGATTGATCAGCCCAAGGTCATGCATCCAGTTAATAATCAAAGAGAATGGAACCCCAGCTTTCTAAGTCCTGAGGTAAACAGAAGGCTACACTGTTTTCACTACATCATGCTGAGTATCTTTTGTAGCCACAAAGTTACAGAGAGAAAGGCAGCTTGCTAATCTCTGCTATCTACCCAAATTGTATGTAAGGGAGCCCAGTCACATACGAAGAGTTACACAGATAGGAGCTTCCAGATGCCATCTCTTCTGGCTCCATTAGACTTAACCTTTCAGATTGTTATCTTCTCAAACTGCAGCAGCCTCCTTGCCTCAAGGAAACAACAAAACACTCCCGTGGAAGGAGAAGCTCACTCCAGGTAGGCCTCCAAAGAGGGAGAGGGAGGCACGTCCAGGAGGCAGATGCCAAAATGCAGAAATGGAGTGAGTTAGGGTAAAGTGATTCTGGTCTCCGGAGATGTTTCTTTAACATAGGAGAGAAGAGGCAGGTGTCTAAGTAAAGCTCAGGGAGACCCCAAACGTCTCTTGCTACTCAAGTGCAAGGGAGGAGATTCTCTTTATCTGAGTCTCAAATTTGCAGTGGGAATGCTGAATTTGGGGCAAAAAGACTTGACTTTGAAGCTACCATTCATTAGCTGTATCCTCTCTGAGCCTCAGTTTCCTTGTCTGGGGAAGACAGCATGGTGTAGTGGACAGAGCATTGGACCTGGGTTGAAAGCCAAGCTCTGACATTCACTTGCTGTATGAACTCAGGTAAGTGACTTAACTTCTCTTAGACTAGTGTCTTCATCTGCAAAATGAGACTAATGACACTTGTACTACTTACCTCAGGGGTTGCTATGAGGAGCAAGTGAGCTAATGAATGTATATGAAAGTATGTGGCAAATAGGAAAATACCATATGAATAACAGCTATTAGTATAAGGCAATCCAGCAAGTCTTTCAAAAATCTCCCATAGGCTGTCCTGTGGGATAAAGCTAAAGGGTAGCTTTATTATGTGAGAGAGGAAGCATGGGTCCTGAATGGAGAACCTCAGCCTGGGTGGGAATCAGGAGGCCATATTAGGCACAGAATAGGTATTCAATAACTATTTCTTGATTGGTTCTTGTCCTATCTCCACCATGGACACAGCTGACCTGGAGCAAATTATTTAACCTTTCTGAGACTTAGTTTTCCCTTCTATAAAATGAGGAGAATAATCTCTACTGCTTTCCACCAACATGGTAAGGACTGATTGGTGAAATTAATCAGACAATAAGCACAAAGGACTAAGTCTCTTTCCATTTTTCTTGATGTTTTCTCTTGTTCTTGTTCTTTTCCAAAAATGCCTTTCCAAAAGTCACTTTGGACTTTTTTTTTCTTTTCTATCCAACGCAAATTGATTCAACATTATTTGTTAAAACACCTACTCTGTGCAAGGTATTTTGGCTGGTACAGAGAATACAAAGATAGAAATGATATAGATCATGACCCTTAAGGAGCCTATGATCTATTTAATAAGGGAGGAGGGAGAAGGGAGGATAAATATATGGATAACAAAGGTACAAAAAGAGAATGAGATAAATGTGAAATAAAATGCGAAAGAAAAAGTTCAGATAAATTTGAGAGAGAAGATTCATTTTCTGCTGGAGGAAGGTCAGGTAGGCTTCATGGAAGTGGAGCTTGAATTAGGTTCTATATATATATATTATATAAATATAATATAAATAAAGCTCAAGCTAGTAATGATGTTAAAAGATTGGAAAACTCATTTTTAGAAGGGCTGTGGAAAGATCAGCACAATAATTCACCACTGATGAAACTGGGAATTTATTCAATTGTTCTGAAAAATAATTTCTCATAAAAACTTACTCAAATTGATTATAATTTTTTTCCTCAGAAATTCCTTTACTAGAATAATAGTTTGAGGAAGTTATTGATAGCAGGAAAAGACCCATATTCACAAAAATCTCATAGTAGTGCTATTTGTGATACAAAAATTAGGAAACAAAACATCGGTCCAGTGATAGGAGAATGGCTGATCAAATTATGGTTTATGAGAGTAATGGGATATAATAAAAAATGGCAAGTATGAGGAATCCAGAGAAGAACACAGGAAGACTTGTATGAAGTAATCCAAAGCCAAAAAATAAAGCTCAAAGAATAATATCAGAATGTCTATTATTTGTAAATGAAGTCAACATGGAGAAACAATGAAAGTGATCAAATAAAATGGTCATTTTAGTGCTTTATTCTCAATGTGAAAGGCACAAACCTCTTTTCTATCAATAATAGATAAGATATGGGAAAGGGAGGATGTACTTGGTAATGGGCTTTGTTTGGATGTTTATTGGAAAGTGTAAGTCATGTCCAAACAAAATATATCAACAAATGAAAAAGAGCACTTTTTAAAAAGATGAATGATGTGTACTATTGGACAAGTCAGTTTTCCCTTTCTGGGCTTTGGTTTTCTCTTCTACTAAATAAGGGAGTTGAACTAAATGATTTCTAAGCACCCTTCATGGAATTTGAGGAGTTGGGAGGTATTGCAGCAACAATCTATTTCAGTTCTTACCATACCCAATTATGGGCATCCCATCCCATGTAGGTCTGAGAATCTACAGTGAGGGCAAACTCACTGCCTCCCAAGGCAGCCCACTCTATTTTTGAGTAGTTCATTGTAAAAAAAAAAATTTTTTTTCTTACATCAAGGCTGAATTTGTTCCTTTGTAATTCAATCCATTTCTGATGCTACTAAGGTCAGAAAACTGACCTTACACATACCAAATATCTAATAAATAAAGTTGACCTCCAATTCCTTTATGATCCTTTTCAGGCAGAAGTATCAAACAGAGGGTTCCCAGCTGAACCAGATTAAAATGTTAATTGGGAAATATTTACAAAATAAATAAAAATATAATGAAATATAGATAATAATACATTTTAAAACTAAGTCAATATGCAGTGGCAAAGATCCTTACATGTAGATTAGTAAACTCCATTTCTATCTGAGATTGACACCACAACTTTATAGCAAAAAGTGCCAGAGATAGAATCTCATTACAGATTGGTTTACAAGACACTTATTAACTGACTGACTGACTGTCTATATCTGCATCCATCCCAAGCCCAATCATAGCTGTTTGCATTGAATTACTAAATTGATTTGAAGTTACTGTACCTAATTCTTTTTGAGTCTTAACATCTGTGTGCCTCCTACAAGATGACTTTGGTGATTCCCTCAGTTGTTAGAGCCCCCAAAATTGTTTATTTTGCATAAATCTTGCATTTATTTATTTGTGTGAAGTGTGACGTGTTACTGTGTCTATGTTTCACTGAGTTCTTCAGTATTTGCCATTACTTATGTAGCAGTAATATATTTGCTCAGCTATTACCCAATCAATGGATATTTGTTCTGTTTCTCTGTGTCTTGTACTCCCATGTAGAATATAGCCTCTTGAGAACAAGGATTGTCTTGTTTTTGTCTTTGTTTTCATAGAGCCCAGCACAGTGCTTGACACATAGTAGGTGCATTAAATGGAATTAAATCAACTTTTCCTATTAACACTTTCCATTTTCATTAGACCTTATAGACAGGGTGGAGTATCTGCCAGTGGTAATCAGAACTGGAACTAGTTTGGGGGACAGCATCCCTATGATCTATATGGACAGGTAAATTCCTGATTTGTGGGCTTCTGTTACCATGAGCCTCTTGTTTGGTCTGTATCATGATTGACAAAGGATTGTAGGCTGTAGAGAACACATGGGATCATAGAATGTAGAGCTAGAAGGGGCCATAAATATCAAATAGGTCAATTTTTAAGAATGAGGAAACTGAGGCCCAGAGAAGTTGTGATTTACCCAGAGTCATAGTAAATAGCAGAGCTAGGATTAGAACACCTGCTTTCTGATTTCAAGTCCAGTGCTCTTTCCACTGTACCATATTATCACTGTGTATCAGGCGCAAAGCCTGTGGGTTTTGTATTCAGGGCCTTCACCACTCTTCCCTTAAGTCTCTGTTTGGCTGGACATCTATCTATTTCTGTGTGTCTCCCGGTGTGTGGGCTCGGGGGTAGATTCAAGCATAGAGTGGGACCACTTGGGGCTACTTGGAACTGAAAGGCGCATGAAGTGTAATGGAAAGGGTATTGAGCTTGAAATTGGAAAGACCAAGATTTATTCCTGCTTCTGACCCTTACCAGCATTAAGAAAATGGAAGTCACCTTAGCTGCTCTGAACCTCGGATTCCTTAGTTTAACAAATATTTATTAAATATTTGCTATGTGTAGTGCATTGAGCTAGGCTTTGGGGATACACAGACAAATCTTCCACATCCTCAAGGAGCTTATGTTCTAGAGAAACAGGGAGAAAGAGGAAAAGAGAGGAAGGGGGCCATGGGATCCACAGAACATGTGCACAAATCAGTATAGTCGAAGGAAAGCTGAGGATGGAGGAGAGCAGCTAGGGGGATCAGGGACAGCTTCACGAAGGAGGTGGCATCGAAACTGAATCATGAAGGAAGAGGAGGATTCTGAGAGGTCGACAGGAGGAGAGAATGCATTCTAGGCAGAGAGAATAGGTGTGCAAATGAATATAAGGAGGTGGGGAGTGGGGAGTCACGTTCCTGTAACATCTAGCCATCCAAGTGGGCTGTGACTTTGAGTCTATGAAGAGGAGAAATATAGTATCAGGCTTGAAAGGTAGGTCGGAGCCAGAGGCCTTAAATTCTAGACTGGGGAGGTTCCATATGTGCAAGGGGAAGCCAGTAAAATTTTTTTGAAGAAAGGAGAAATCAGGTTAGACCAATTAGGGAGCATTATTTTAGCAGCAGTATCAATCGATAAGCATTTAAGTGCTTACTATATGCCTGGCACTGTTGCTAAGAAGTACTGAGGACCTGGAAGAAACTGGAAGAAACTGGAAGCAAGGAGTTTGACCGGGAGTCTATTGGAATAATCTATGAGAGAGATGATGAGGGTCTGATATAGGGTTGGTGGTCATGTGTTTGAAGAGAAGGGGACAGACACCAAAAATTTTGTGGAGTTGGAAACAACAAAGAGAATCTTCATCTGTAAAATGTATATGGTAATATCTATAGATCCTCTGTAAAATGGGGAAAATAATAGCACTTACCTGCCTGGGCTATTGTGAGGATCAAATAAGATATTTGTAATGAGCTTGGTACATATAGTGCCTGGCACATAGCAGGTGCTACATACATGTTATTTTCCTTGGGTTGTTTTAAGAATAAAACAGTGTTATAGGTCAGGTGCTTTACAAACCTTAAAATACTCCATAAATGGCAGTTATTATTATATTTTTATATATTATATTACAAATGTATTATATATGTTACATTATTATATTATATTATTATATT